CTGGGTTCACCCCCCACCAGCATGTCTGGGGTTCTGGGTTCACCCCCAGAAGCATGTCTGGGGATTTGGGTTCACCTCCAGAAGCATGTCTGGGGATTTGGGTTCACCTCCAGAAGCACAGAGCACACAGAATGGGCACCATGAATGAACAGTGGCAACTCACACTTACCATAGCTGTTGATCTGCATGGAGCTGAACTGACTGCCCAGCTGGGTGACAGAGGAAGTGGACCCAGGACCTGGGTAAGATGACTGTGGCAGGGGCTGGCCTGATGCATAAGAAGATGCCACATTATTGACAGGTGGGAGTCCTGGAAATCTAAGAAACAAAAAGTATTGATAGTATCACAGAGTTTCTTAAGCAAACGACGTACACTACACAATAGGAAATATATTCTAAATCAAACAAGCCCTCTGTGTGGTAAGGAAAATGATAGATGTTGTGCCTCATATATTTAATCTTGATATGAGTTCAAAAATAACCCATTGTAGCCACACCTTCCATTTCCACTCACATTTCCTATGGCAAGGAAGAGAAAAGTTTCTAACATGAACACAAAGCCACCTTTGGAAGTCAGTTTGGAAAGATGAGTCCAGCACCACGTCATACACACTAACTTGATCAATAGGAGGAAACAAAAACAACACCAGGGTCAATAACCAAGGACCCTGGTTTATGGTTGAATCTTTGTGATCATTCAGACCCAGTTTTTAATCAAAACGTGGCGTGTCTCACACCCTGAATCCAGCAGAGCTCGCCATACACAACGATGTCGGGCTTTGCAACACTGCAGTTAAGCTTGAAGCTGGGGTTTTATTTTTTTGCTTGTTTTTGTTTTCTAAAAAATTTCATCCCGCTTTACCTTCGACGTAGTGTAAAACTATGTCTGCTGTGTGTCCTTGTCACTGTTTGGATCTAAACAATGGCTACTGAGCAGAGGTCCCATCCTGGTGATACAACACAGGAAGCTAATGAATACCCGGGAGTTATTATGACTCTCTTCTTACTAACTTTGAATTGTGAGTAAAACTTGAGGTTTCCCAGGCCATATGGACAATGTATTTTCAATGTCTTTATTTGGAACCAGAGCCCATTCTCTCTGTTTCTGTGTCTTGACTTTCCTTCGTCATCGAGAGGCCCTGAGCCATTTGAGAGAGCTGGTGGCTGAGGAGAAGTCCACAGCTCATTTCAAACACAAGGGTGTGGGGTGGGGGACAGAGACAGGAGAGGGGAGGGAGAGGAGGGCAGATTCTTCCGGGTCTCAGGGGCACACCTGCTGCAACAGTGTACTCCGTAATCTTGTTATTTTCCAAACTGAATAATTATTTTAAACAAACAAACCAAAAGACTCCTTAAGACCTCACTCCAAGTACATGTTGCTAATTATTTCAGCACGATTATCACACACTTTGTCCTAAGTAAGGGAAGGGCAGACAGCTTATCCCTCGTGCCTCACAAGACAAGCATGTCTCTGGCATTTAATCTGTTAAAGCAGAGCTGATAATGTTTTAATCCCAAAATATTCCTAAGAAAGATACCTTTTTGCCAAAAATTTTAGAAGAATCAACATAATTAGATTAAGTGCCCCCACGATTTCAATATATTTAGGAAAAGAGAACGAGTAAAGATAGAAGACTACAAAGGTAATTAAAATGTGTATTATGTTACATTGTGTGTGTGTGTCTCTGTATCTCTGCCCCCACCCCATGTGTGCATGTCACAGTGCAGGGTGAGAGATCAAAGGACAATTTGTAGGAGTCTCTCCTCCCACCGTGTGGGTCTCTGGAACCAAGCCTAGGTTGTAAGGTTTGCTGGAATCTGCCTTCAAGCACTGAGACCTCTTGGCCCAAAGGTTACCTTTTGAGAGTAAGTTTTCTTTGTGTCTCTCTTTACTCCAGGATACTGGCTGTGAACCATGCAGCTTGAAATGTGACTCTTGTCTGGGACTGACAAATGATTTCAAGAACTGCCCAAAGATTTGACTGATAAATTCACTGCTACATAAAAAGAAACATTTTCTCTTTGCTTTGTCAAGAAATGACACTTCATTCCCTGCCACGCATGGGGAATTGTCACAGGGAGTAACGCTGTATATAACTGAAGTGTATTACAGACTCTAGACAATATATAATCATAGCTAAGTAGCAGTTAAACGGGGAAAGTGCATATAATTGTCTGAGACCCAAAAATAATTTGCAGAAGTGATTGACAAAAGATAATATTTTTTTTAAATATAAAATTCCATGACTTACTTTTTATTTTTTCTTTTTAGCCATTTCAGTTAGAACAAAGACATACAGGGGCAGAGACATAAATAGTCTCTGGTGTTTGTTTGCTTGTTTGTTTTTGTTTTGTTTAACTTTTAACAAAGGCTAAATATTTGAGGCTGGAGAGACTGCTGGTTAAGAACGTGTGTTGCTTTTTCAGAGGACCACAGTTTGATTCTCAGCACCCACATCAGGTGGTTCACAGTGTCAGAAACTCCAGCTATAGGAGATCCAATGCCTTTTGGCTTCTGCTGGCACCCAGTGCACATAGCTGCACACATAAACAAATGTTGTTAAAATTTTTAAAAAGACTAAAGATTTAAAATACAGAGGGAGAGATTGTACAACCACCAGATATTACTTTAACCCATAGATACCTACTTACTGTTCAATTCTTATGCACTGGGAGTTAGGTTTCAAAATTTATAAATAATCTCTTTCTGACAAGCTAAAACATTCTTAGTCTTAAACATGTTGTGTTTTTAATGTAATATCCACTTTTAAATTATTTAGACTAGAAATAAAACAAAGCCAAGCTATTATATACAAAAAGTAAAGAAAAAATCAGGACACTTAACAAAAAACATTCTATTTGTTACTCTCCCACTGCACACAGTATGGCTATCAGAGGTAGCAAACCCAGCCCACAGCTGGAGCCTGGGGAGCCACCAGCAGCCTGCCTCTTCCTCCCAACCCCTCTGTATTTTCAAACTGTAAAAGCAAGTGGGAGAGATAAACCTTTTCCCACTGCAACACATTGTGGTTAAAAATGACAAGCCAGAATTATATTTGGAGAGGACTAAGAAATACTCAGATACAGATTTTAATTCACTGTTTCATTTAATATCAGAAAGGAACAGAGAGCTACCACCAAGTACCCACTTTAAAAAGTCATATAATTACCAAAAATTTGTCTCAATCTACTCTTAAACCTTGGTAGTGTTGATGTTGATTGACTTCTCTGTTCAAGTGCTTCCCATTTTTAAGTTGGAAATAAACCGGTCTAGAAGGAAGCCCTGCGTTAAAGTCTGTCAATATCGGGAGATAAGATGTAAATATGGTTTAAACGTGTCCCATCCATAATTCTAGTGTTGAAATGTAACAGTATCCGGAGGCTACAGAGGAGCCCATCTCATAAATGGGATGTGGTCTCCTTTCCAGAGCAGGTCTAGCAGGCACTTGGTCCTTTCTCTGGTATTCAAGGCACCATGCTGGAAGCAGCAAGCAGCCTTCATCAGACAGCAAAACTGGTAGGGCCTCCACCTGGACCTTTGCAGTCTCCAAATTGGTAAGAAATACATGCCTGCATTTTGTAATTCCTAGTATCAGATTTCTGTAGCAGCAGCACAAAATAAACTAGAGTAGCAAATTATTCAGGTCTGATTGAAACAAAATCTGCATTTTAAACATTAACCCTATAGAGAGGATAAAATCAAATCCTATCATTTCCATATTGAAACACACTAAGGAGGAACTGGAGAGATGGCTCAGTGGCTAAATGGACTTGTTGCTCTTGCAGAGGACCAGGCTTGGGTCCCAGCACCCACGTGACTGTAATAATCACCCATACACAGAAAAGAAAGGGGGAAGCACTAAAGAAGGATGGGGATTTAGGTCAGTGAAGGAACACTTCCCTAGCATTTGCAAGGCCAGGGAGCCAAGCCTCAGCACCACAAAGCCTAGCCTTGTTTTCATCCCTACCTCTGTTTATACTGGAACCAGTGTCTTAGTAGAGTCTCCTAAATACAGTTTGGGAAGCTGGGTCTCCTTCGTTCCCTAACTCACTACGTCTTGGTCAAGTTGTAGATGGATTACAATTGACTAGCTGTCATTTTTTCCTTATGATGAAACTACTGACTTTTAAGAGTATAAATTTTAATAGATTAATCTTACCTAGAGATACCTTAGGTAGAAATTTTTAGAAATACTTGCAAAGTTTAAGATAGTTGTCCTGCCTCAGCCATGATCAAAAGAACAAATGACTAGGTATGACTTTGAAATTCTTATCAGATATTTCTTTTTGAAATAAGAGGTCTTTAAGATAATTTTTATTTTTTAAGATTTATTATTATTTTAATTATGTGTATATTGAGGGAGGATATGCACATAACTGAAAGTGTCTGCAGAGGTCAGAGGTGTGAGACCCCCTGCAGCTGGGGTTTCAGGCAGTTTTAAGCCACCTGATATGGATACTGGGAATTGATCTCAGATCCTGAGGGAGAGGAGAATGTGCTCCTAACTACTGAGCCATCTCTCCAGCTCTATTCATTTTTATTTTCATGTGTATGAATGTTTTCCCTGTACCATGTACAGGCCTGGTATCTATGAAAATCAGAAGACAATGTTAGATGCCCCAGACCTGGAGTTCCATATGGTTGTGAGCAACCTTATGTGTACTGGGAGCCAAGCATAGGTCCCCTGTAAGGGCAACAAGTGCTTTTAAATAACTGAGACAACTCTCCAACCCCAAAATATCACTGTTTTAAAAATCATGGACATATTTACACAGTAAGTTAACACAGTAACTCTTTTGAGTTTGAATTGGCAAAAGTCCTATCTCTGTGACTGAGCCTCTATGTAGGAACGAGGTGTTGCTACCCACAAAGAAAGATTACACAGTCAGCTGTGGGGACACATGCCTGAACTCCCTCACTAGGGAGGGTGAGGCAGGAGAATCATTACTTATAGGCCAGCTGTTACACAGTGACTGTTAAAAAAAAAAAGAAAGCTAAGTCGCACCAGTAATTGGCATTTTATTTAATTGTGTGTGTGTGTGTATACACATCTGTACATATATATATGCATATACATACATATAGGTATATATACATAATATATATTATATAATATATATGTTATATGTAATTGTTTTGAGGAAGCTTTTAAAACAGTAGGTGTGGTGGTTTGCATAAGTATGGCCCCCATAGGCTCATCTGATGCTTAGTCACTGAGGAGTGGAACTCTGATAGGATTAGAAGGATTAGGAAGATTGGCCTTGTTGGAGAAAGTTTGTCACTGAGAGTGGGCTTTGAGGTTTCAAAAACGCATGCC